AATGCCCAATCATCTTCAAGCCCACTTCCAATGCCATGTCTTGACTGAAGTTCCCTCTGAGAAACGCTATGCAGGTTGAATCTTTCTCGTTACTGTCCGCTACAGTAATTTACAGTGTCTCTTCCATACTACTCTCCACAGTTTTGTTTGTATTGCGGTTATTTCGAGTTCTCTTTTCATCCTTATTAAATTGAGAGCATCCTGAGGACTTGAGTTGGGCATCTATCAGATGATAATGGAGAGGACTGTGTGAACTGTGTCCCTGGCTTAAAGTCACACTGCCAGATTGAAATACTGACTGCATGATACACTGCTGTGTGAGCCTGGAGGAATGTTTTTACTTCCGAGGGCAGTGTTGTGGGCAGAATCATGATCTCCAACAATGCTCATGTTCTGATTTCCAGAACCTATGAAGATATTAGCTCATATCCTAAAAGGGACCTGAGGTGGCTAATTAGCTGACCTTAAAATAGAAAGATGGTCCTAGGTTATCCAGGTGGATCAATGCCATCAGAAGCGTTCTTTGAAAACGGAAGAGAGAGGCAGCAGAAGAGGTGAAAGTGAGGAAATATGTGCAGGGCTGGATTTGAAGGTGGAGAAGAGGGATCACGAGCCAATGCGTGCATAGCATCTAGAAGCTGGAAAACGCCAGGACGGAGATTTTTCTGGATGACAGAGAAAACAATAATCTGATGCCAATTCCTGGGAGGAACCATCTTCTTCTCAAATCGAGACTGGTGGTGAGAATGAAGAGCTAATAATAAAAGTAAACTGGAGTCGTTAAAGGTGACGTCCACCCTAACTGTTCTGGTTGATGACAAACAGCTGTATGAATGCCATGAGGATGAATGGAACTTCTGGCTGGGCTTTGAGTAGACAATAATGCTGGGGCAGCTTTGGGAATAAGAGGAGCCCTGGTCTTCTGTTTGCTCGTCTGCTAACTAAGAAGGTCAGCAACCATTCGCACCCAATGGGGGAAAGCTGATATAGCAGTTGGCTTCTATGAACACTTAAGCCTTAGAAATCCAGGTCTACCCTACCCTGTCGGGTCACTATGAATTGGATTCATCTGGATAGAAGTGGTTGGGTTGGGCTTAAGCACATACTCAACGATATGCAGAAATGTGATTTGAGGGTTAAGTTTGTTGTGGCTGACGGTTTTTGCTCCTGTTTGAGTTTTGTATTTGCAATTTTCAGTATCTTTGCATTTGTCAAGTGGAAACATTTTGTTCCAGAACTGCTGTCATTAGACCACTTCTATTTATTACATGTGTCTTGCAAGATCAGAGCTGACTTGATATTGAAAAGGACGTGTTTTCAGAGGTTCTCATTTAGCAGCCATGGAAACTTCTTAGGGAGGGGAAGAATGTTTTTTTTTTTCCATATAGTCTAATTCCTACCTAATAGATTTCCAAATCTCTTGGGATTGTGTAAAAAGAACTGTAAAATGCAGCTCTTGGGTGTTTGATACTCAATGAATTAAGATGCTATCATATGGTAAATAAAAAGATGTGGAACACTCAGTTGTTTTTCACAGAGAACCATGGAGAGGGAAGTGCACACAAGATTATTCTTGGAAGCAAGGATGGTACGATTTCTTCTCATATACTTTCAGGGTGTTACCGAGAGGGGCCAGCCTTTGCGCTTGATAAAGCAGAGGGCCAATGAGAAAGAAGAAGACCCTCGACGAGGTACATTGACTCCGTGGCTGCAATACTGGGCTCATGCAGAGTAGAGACTGTGAGGGAGGCCCAGGAACCGATAGGACCTCTTTCTCTTCTCCACAGCATCGCTACGAGGTAGAGGCCGCGTGCTGGTGCCTAACAAAAGCCCTGTGCACTAGGAGCCCTGGTGACATAATGATGAAGCTCCCAGCTGCTAATCGAAAGGTCAGCAGTTGGAATCCACTTGCAGCTCCACTGGGGATAAAACTTGGCCATGTGGTTCCCAACTCTTACAGCCTAGGAGCTCTAGGGGGCAGAGTTCTACTCAGTCATGGGAAGGAGTGGGAATCCAGTGGATGGCACACACCACTGTTAACTCCAGAGTTCACTGTCTGTATCTAGACTACTGTCAGGGAGCTCTGGTAGTCTAGTGGTAAGAAGCTGCGCTGCAATCATGAAGGCTTACGGTTCGAATTCACTGGCTACTCCGCAGAAGGATGGACAATCTTCCCCCCCAACCCTCAGGCAATAAACTGCCTCTGAAAATCCACTGGAGGGTCCGTGGGTTGTGTACTCAGTGGTACACAACAACAACAATAAAGTACTCTTTTCAACGACCCTCAAAAGTAGGTATTCCCCCCCCCCCCCAATTTTACAAAGGCGCTGAGAGTTGAGCCTTAGAGCTCTCGGACCACAGCCACACACGCAGTAAGGGGTGGACTGAGAATGGGCTTCAAAGGCGGTGCCCACTACATTATTTTCCCAGCTTGTTAAATAAATCCAACAGATTCCTGGAGTGTTTTCCAGTGATTAAAGCTTTGGCATTTTTTCAGAAAACAACGCAAAAATCTTGGAGAAAGCTAGGGGTTTCCCCCTTTCCGTGTGCTTGGAAGCAGCCTTTGAGGACTCAGAATCTATCTTTTCTGATTCAGTGTCTTCCTCTCTGTGTTGACCCACGTGTCCATGTCTTTTCTGCAAGGTTGGAAACCAGCGCCCATCTTTAACAGAGAGAAACAAAGCATTCCAGCTTGTTGTCCTTTAGTTCATACCAACTCGTGGTGACTTTATAGGACACAGTGCAGTCTCGCAGGGCTCTGGTGGTGGCGTAGTCCCTAGAGAGGCGCGCTAGTGACCCAAAGGTGGCGCTTCTCTGGCAGTTCGAGCCTACCAGCTGCTCCGCATGACAAAGATGGGCTCTTTCGGCCTCTTGCCTCCCCCTTTTTTTAAAAATTAATTTTAATGACAATTTACAGAGACTTTGTTTCAGCCTGGGAAACCCTCTGTCAGGTATGTAAGTAGGAACCAAATTCAAGACAGAGACACACACGCACACACACATCCCTTTATTATGGCCAACTGCCACTTCTTTCTCCTGTTGAGCAACTGGCAAGCTCCTATCTCTGACCTCTGTATTGCGTAGCTGGTTAGATGGTGAATTCATTCCAACCTCTGACCCTTCCGTTCAGCAATCAAGTTCTTAACCACTGCGCCACCAGAGCTAGTTTTCCCAGGAAGGGGGTGGGGAGGTGACCCTCAAGACAGCTTGTCTCCGGTCGGCACCGAGCTGCCTTTCCGCGGGCGGCCGCCAGGGGTCCCGGCCCGGAGGCCGGCGCGGCACTGGAGCGCACATGAGCCCTGGCGGCGGCGCAGCGCTGGGTGCGCGTGGGGGCTTCCGAGCTCGGCGGCTGCAGCCTGAGTCCGCGCCTGCCCGCCGGCCAGCTCGCGCGCAGCCACCGCGCACCGAGCCGCGAGTCCCTCGCAGGAGCTGCGGCGTCGCCCCTGGGACTCCGGCGTCACGCTCGGCCTCCGGCTCCGGCTTTCAGCTGACCCGACCCGCGGGGAGCCACAGGGCCCGGGACTGAAGGCAAAACCACCGGGTGAGTGAAGACGGTGCGGGGCGAGGAGGTGCCGCGGCGGAGATCGCTCTCGGCCCGGCTAGGGTGCGGGAGCCGCGGGTGCCGGGGGCGCGCTCCGGGGGCGCAGGGGAGACCTCCTCCGCGCTGCTGTCCGCCGGCTTCCGGGGCTGGCGTCCCTCCCAGACCCCGGCTCGCACCTTGGCCCTGGCCGGCCCCTCGTGTGCCCTTCCGGGACTGGGCCGGGGTCCTGAGTCCCCACCTTTGAGCTCCGGGGGTCTTTGGTTTTTAGAAGCTCTGTAACTAAGAGCTCCTTCCTCGGCCGTGCAAGCCTTCCCCGAACCCACGCGTCGCCGCCGCCGCCTGCAGAGTGCGCGTTGGGCGGGAAGACAAACTTTACAAAAGTGCGCCCGGGGCAAGGGGGCAAACTTTGGGCGCTTTGGTCTTGGAGGAGGCGGATCGGTTTGGGGGCGGAGAAGGGGAACTCCGCACCGTCAGCGGGGTTAGCCGGGGGCTCTTGATGTTACCGGGAGGGACAGGGTGTGCGAAGGAAGGTACAGATCCTGCTGAACCCCTGGCCAACAACTGTCAAACATGCGAGGTGCCGGCCCCTCCTTTTCCCTTGTCCGGGAAGGAAGGTGGAACCCTTTCAACTTTCCTTTGATTGCTCCTTCCCGCCTTTGGACCCATCTCGGGAGGGGAATGGGCAACCCCAGCTGCTTAGAAAGTCCCCGAGGGCCTGCCCGCCTTGGGGCCTCTCCATTCCCCCTTTCTTGTCCCCTTCCCACGCGCCTCTACTGAGACCGCTCGACTGAGCCGGCTGAGATCGTGCCGAATGGCCTTTTGTTTGCCCACGTTTCCCCTATTGTTTGCTTTCCCAACATCTGGCGGAGCTTGGGGAGGGGAGGAAGCCCCTCACGCTGCCCCGACACTCCCTCCTAGGGAGTCGCAGGCCCCCTCGGCCAGGGAACCGCCTGGGGGAGAAGTGGAGCGGGACCCCCCGGGGCCACCCTGCCGGGGCCTTGCGGTTAGAAGGCGGAGAGAAAGTTGTTCCTTCTCCGCCTTCTGGGCTGCGCTTAGCCCGGGGCGCATTGCTCAGAGCTTGTCCTAGAGCGCCGTGAAGTGCATAGACCCGGGAGGGGTGCTGCTTTCGAAACTCTGCGAGCAGGGTTCCGCCCACACTCTGGAGGGGGTGTGTGTGTGTGGGGTGCCTTTGGTGGGATCCCGGGGATTTCAATCCCCAGCAGAGGCGCCCGCCCGGGTAATGGGATTGAGTGAGCCCCCCCCCCCCATGTGTAGGAAAGCCCAAGTTCTGGGGTCTGTGAGTTTTCAAGATCTGAAGGATAAGTGAATGCGAATTATGGTCGAGTAGCTTTGGAAGCCTGAAAGCTGTGCCTGGATAAAGTGGCCCGGATCTCTCTGGAAAGAACGTGAAGTCCTGGCGTCCTTTAAGGGCTCACGTTTAAATCTCAGCCCTCTCTATTCACTGTAGCTCTCGTAGAGCAAGGAGGACGCTGATAGGACCAGGTTCAGGCTTCCCAGTCCCGGCCCACAGACGCCTCCGGGCTGGCTGTTTCCCCCTGGGGGCTCCTGTTACATTAGAGGTGGCTCTTTTCCGCTGCCTCTCCCAGAAGTTAGACGTTCGCGCATCGTGTTCGTTCCTAGGGAGGGTTAATTATTTATTAAAGAAGTGGTGGGGCAAAAGCAAAGCAATCACGTTGAGAGCGCAGGGGCCCTAGGTGGTGCCTGGAGAGCTGCCTTTGGAGCACCTGTTAGTACCTGGACCTCCCTCACTACAGACTTGCAGCTGACCCGGTTACCTGCAGCGCCCAGTCAGCCTCTCTCCCAAGGACACTCACTCATCTCAACAACTTTACTTTCCAACTTTCGATTCTGTCTGGCCTCACCCCAAACCAGGGGACGAAGGAGAGAAGAAGCTTCACTTAAACATTTACCCCCTCATGTTCCCAGGAAAAATGAGCTCATTTGTGAAGGGAAACTGAAGCTTTGGCACATGGCTTATTAGTCCCAGACCTTTCACTTCACTCGACTTCTCAGAACTTGTGAGATTTGATTTAGTGACAAGCAAATGAGGGTTGCTTAATCAGGACTGGGGACCTAAATCAGCACTTTCTGCAGCAATTCTTGGATAGTAATGTTTGGGACCAACAGGAAGAAATAAAAGACAAATTCTTTGAAGGACTAGAAGGCGTTTTACAAACATATAATAATGAAAGTGATCCCCAAGAATGAATTCATTTGCAATTTAGCAGCACAGCAGAAGTAGCAGGAGAAAAGCAACCCAGAAAAAGGTGGGTTGTTCAGTAAGTACCCAGTTAGGGCATGGTGACTGTTTGTTGTTCAGCCACCACATAGTGACCTCAGATCTTGACCTCAGGTAGTCATTGAGGGAGATATGCTTGTTGAGTTAGAATTTAAAAGGGATTCCCCTGAAAACCCATCTTGGGGGCAAAAAAACCTCGCAAAGTACAAAGAGGCAAAAATGAATTAAAAGATAATATTGTCAAGATTGAGGTTAAGAGTCTTTTCCAGTTATGTCTTTGGGATCCATTTGTAGAGGGAGAGGTAAGACTCAAAGGTTACGGTGCTCTTTGTGGAGTGTTTGTTATTGCCATGTTGTCCTGCGGAGAGTCTGTGCCAGCTTGCCCTTTCCCCAGCAATACACAGCGTGTCTGTTCCCCACACCCACTCACTCTGCATTCTTCATCTTCATCTCTGCCACGCTAACGGGAGGCTAGTATCCTATTGTCCTCTTTTTGCATTTCTTTAATCACAGGCAAGATTGAACCTCTTTTTCCTTCCAAATTGCTGGTGCCTTTTCCTTTGTGATGTTTTGCCAATTTATGCCCACTACATTTTCAGTAGGGGTGTTAGGTTGTGCCTCACCATTTACGAAAGCATCCTGTTTCTGACATCTGGCCTTGCCTGAACAGTTAAATAATCTGCATTGACTGCAAAGGCTCAGCTTTCCTGGCCTCTTCTTCACTCCCCCAAGTAGCAAGCACTTGGCAAACCTGTACCCATTATTACTGAAATAACTAATATAATTCCAGTGGAGTTATTAGGAAGAGAGACCCACAGAAAATCCCTAGTCTGTCTTTACTTCTTAGCTGTTTGTGTGCCCCGCCCCCTTGTCCACTTACACTATAGTGGTCTGAGGTTTTGTTCCTTTAGAACTAGTCTATTGATGAGTTGTTTTTACTGAAAGGGTCACATTTATTATCTGGTCTTTCCACTGATAACTATGTAGCATGGTCTATCACTTGTTCTTTAAAAATTTTCTCCTAACTTTTGGATGGAAATGTGCCTTTGTTTCTCTCCTTGGCTCTACAACTTGATCATTGTACTTGGAACAGTCTTGAAGCACAGCCGCTTGGCTGCATGCTGGATGTGAGGAAAGCAGGAGAGATCTCCCAAGGGTTGAACCAGGTCATTTCACCTTCTTCCATACATGTGTTTAGCCACAATCTCTGTATTAGTTCTTTGTTTTCAATTGCAACAAGTTTATTACAATATACATCAATATAAAAATTTTGTGAGAAATAGAATAGCAACTATTTCCCTCCTCCCGATCCTCCCCCCTCTGCTCCCACCTTCCCCCCCCCCTTGGACCTCTCATACATGTTTTACTAGTTATTCTTCTCTTTTTATGCCGTCTTTGTTTTTATGAGACTGAGGTAGTTTACTCAGCATAGTGCTCTCCATTCTCTCTCAAGATATGTGTTATTTTTTTAAATCATTGCTCCTGAATGCCGCGTAGTATTCCATTATGGGAACGTACCACAATTTCTTAATTCTGTTGTGGTTGGACATTTGGGATGTTCCCATGTTCCTGTGATGGTAAATAATGCTGCTATGAACACTGGTTCACTCAAATCTCCATTTGAGTCTCAGTTCTAATTTCTTTGGGGTATATTCCTAGTAGTGGAATAGTTGGGTCATACGGAGTTTCAGCTTTTTTGAGGAAATGCCAAACTACCTTCCAGAGAGGTTGTACCATTTTACAGTCCCACCAATAGTGTAAGTATATGAGGGTTCCCACCTCTCCACATCCTTTCCAACATTTATTGTTGGCTGCTATGCTAAACTTAGTCATTGGTACTGGGGTGAAATGGCATCTCATTTTAGTTTTGATTTCTTCATGTGTCTGTTGGCCATCTGAATGTTTTCATCTATGAAAAGGCTTTCCATGTCTTTTGCTCACTTTGTAATTGTGTTATCTGACTTTTTCTTCTGGAGTTCCCAGAGTATTCTTATAACCTTTTGTTATGTCTCTGCATTAATTCTCATTTCAAAGGAAGTCATTCTGAAATAGGGTGAAAAAGGAAAAAAAGAGAACATTTGTATCAGATAAGTGGTTAACACGGATGATTAGACCATACAAAAGGAACCAAATCAATACACTAAGGTAATCTTAGGCACAAAATAACTTCAAAAAGAGTAAGATATTAAAGTGACATCTATGTTTAGAATAGCACATTTACTTAACAGATAAAAATGCAGTTTTTAAATTGGGAAAATCCACTGTAAAATTCTTCCAGTGTTTGACTATAAGAATTTCACTTTAGGTACTAAAAATATACAATATTACGTGGGAATGGGACACTTCTCCTGAGATTGTCACACATACAGACATAGAAATCAGTTCATACACAGTAGAGATGAACTGTCTTTGATAATTTGGTATTATAGGCTCTCAAAGTTTGGGCAAGAGTTTAATGGTCGGCTAATTCAAGCAGCCAATCTCACAGTAGATCTTTACTCTCCCAAAGTAATAAATATCATCCTATATTGTATTATTTCCAAACAAACCAAGCTTCGAAGCAAATGGTCCAGGAAAGTCAACTTTTTTTCCTTTGAAAGAGAAAGGAAAAGTTTTTAATTCTATTGAGATAATGTAACTCTTTTAATATGTTGAACTATTGATAGTGTTAAGCCCAGTTAAATGGCTAAGCCATGGAGGTATTAAACTTTGCAGCATTTTCTGTTCCATATTGACTTAGCAAAGTTTCATCGTGGTGGGGCAAAACAAGTACAAACAACATGGCAAAAGCAAAATGAAGGAGAAAATACAAGAGGAAGAAGAAGGAGAATCCAACGCACTGAAAATTCTTTCCAGAAGATTAACTGAAAAGAAGAACAAGCATGGCTACACAACAAAAGCGTGTAATCACTGTCATTGAATTGTGCTGTAGAAATTGTTGATTAGTGTAGGTTTCACTGCATACATTTTCAACCACAGTGCCAGTTGCAATAGTGAAACTATTAAAAGAAGCACACACACAGCTCTCTCCACATGACTTTCTCAAAGGACTCTTGGTCGCTTATAGGATGTTTGGCCCAACCTCTCCTGAGAGAGCTGAATGTGATGGGTATTGAAAGGCCAAGTTTTCAAGACCGTGAAGATGACATAAATCACCACCAGTCCCATTGAATGCGGGGGTACACAGGCCAGCAGGACAATCTCTAAAAAGGAGAGAGAGAGAGAGAAGGAGCAGATTTGGGAGGGAAATGAAGGTTTTCATTCTGAAACTCTACCTTGGTCCCTGTCGAGTTGCACTGCGAGGTTGTGAAAGAAGTATAAACACCTCCTGAGTTCTACTTGGACGACTTTCCACGCGCAGTCACTGTACCTTTTCTGTTTCAGGAAATTGGCTATCCTACTGAAGTATTTTTGCAGTTCCTGGTTGCTCCCTGGGGGCTCGCCAGCTCCTGAGTAACTGAGGTTCTCTTCCCTGGGCTTTCCTCCTCCATTCTCTCCCTGTTCTTTCTTCAGACAACGTTCCAGGAACTCTATTTGGCGAAGAAGTCCCATTTGGATTTGACTCTGGTGTTTCTCTTCCCAAGCCGTCTTGACAGGGTATTGACTGTAGATGTTGAAGACCTTTAAGGACATTTCGTAGAAGGCTTCCATGAGTTCCCTTTTCATAGGCGACGTGTATGATAGAAACTCTCCAGGAAAGTTGAAAGCTTGCCTATCTCTTAGGCATTCTGCAGGAAATGAGTTGTTAGTGCTCAGAAGTCTCACATTTTGCTGGATGATTCTACTCAGGTGAGCATTCAGCAGGTCACATTCCAGAGAGAAGATGCTGGTGATGAACAGACCCACAAGGCATGCCGGCCTCAAACATTTTTTCAACACTGCAGGCTGGGTGCTCATTTTTTTCCTCCACAAGCTTCAAAATTCAAGAGTCAAGATTAGCAGTGATCCTTTAGTCCTACATGCCCCTTCCTGTGCCTTTTATATATCTGAATGTTTTCAATATCTTCAGAAGGAGGAGTTTTCTCATTTGCAGTTTTTACAATTTTCGGGGTTGTGGCCTTGTGGCCCTTGGAGGCTTTTTTTTTGGTTACTGTCACTTTGGGTGACTACCCCAACTAAGAATGTTATCTGGCAATGGTATCAGTGTTCTTTTTTTTTTTTTTAAGCAAAAAGATTCCCTTAGGTGTTCTTATGATCCATCCAAATGCTGCAGAATCACTGTTATGAATTGATCCATCTTCAATAAAGAAGAGAAAGCTGTAATACACGTCAGCTCTATTACCTAAGAGAAAGTGAACTTTAATGAAAGCTTGTTGTTATTGTTTTGCTTGTTCTTTGTAGAACAATTGAGTTACTCATATTATTCAGAAGTCTCACGTAACTGAATGTCCTCTCTTATTTAGTTGAATCATAGAACACCAATCAAATGTCTGTACTTACTTGGATTCTAACTCATGAGAGCATAGCCAAGATTAGATTTTTCTGATTTTATGAAACTTAGTGTTTATATTTTGAAGTTTATTATTTTTCTTTGGTCTTTCTAGATCTGAAAAAAGATGAGGAAAAGAGAATTTGTAAATTACCACGGGACCTTATCAAGTAAACGATTAAGCTGGCTTGGTTTTCTGATGTCATTAGGAAAATGCTGATAGACTCTACATTTTTGTTTGTTTGTTTGTTTTAGTTTAAACCAGTACTTTCCATCCTCTTGCAGTATTTCACATACCACTAATATCTTTCTTAGAAGTTTTTCTTCATGGAGTTGTATATTTGACAACAGTTCTTGGTGCCATTTTCTTTTTACTTCCAGTATCATAAATTTTCTATTCTTTTAGGTAAATGTTGATTTAGATAATATTTGAAACTTAGATTTTAGGATTAATTTCATTTTTGCTTTAGATAGTGTTTTTAGTTGAGAGTAAATTTTAAAACAATCTTAACTGGAAGGAACTGGACTCTGTAAAGGATTTTGGGGTTTTACATTTATTGTTCACTGAGAGGATTTATGAATAGCTGACCACTCAATTTGGCAGAGTCAATACACACAAAACCCAACGTACTGAGGCAATTATGGCTGACACTTGTGGTTTTCACATTTTTTGACGAAATAACCTCCTTTTGGTTTTTGTCAAGGCAAATGGTTACCTTTTACTAGGAAAGAAAAATGGTATAGAACTAAAGAAAGCAAACTCAACCTATCACCTTAAAATTAGAAATTCATTCATTTTCTCCATCCAGTTTTTGGAGGCTGTAAGTTGCATGGGGTGAGATTGACTATATTTCTTCCTCAGGGTTGTTGTTTTGTGCCATCAAGTTGCCTGCAACTCATAGCGACCCTTTGTACAATAGCCCTAAATCCTGCTCTGTCCTGTGCCAATCTTACTGTGTTTGCCTCACCCACCATTATCCCAGTCACAGAATCAATCCATCTTTTTTTTTTTTTTTTTAGAATCAATCCATCTTAAAGTGGGTCTTCCCCTCCTGCCTGCCCCTCCACCCTTCCCAAGCATGATGTCCCTCTCTAAGGACTGGTCCCTCCTTGCAACATGTCCAAAGTATGAACTACTAGAGGGATGGAACTTCAAAAGTGAATTTCCCCTATAGAATTTCACTGAGAGCCTAGTGGCAAGAAGCCGTACTGCAGTCCTGAAGTCATGGGGTTCGAATACACCAGTTGCTGTACAGAAGACTGGGCAAAGCTCCTTCCATGTGATTAACTGCCTCTAAAAACCCACTAGAGGGTCAGCTATGAGTCAGTTCCCACTCAACGGCACACAATAACAGAGAAATGGAAATTCATTGTGTTTGTCAGTTACTTCCTTTCTTTTTGAAAACATATACACAGAGCCATAGAGTGCAATGCATTGTGCTAATCTCTCTGGAGGCTCCAGAAAGATTTTAATAAAGTTAGTAAAACTAGAGGTAGAAACAACCCTCTAATCATCAAATTCCATTCTCCCTTAACCCTCTGAATACAGACGCAGGAACTACTCTGAAGGCCGTGCCTTCTTTCTACAGAACTTACATTTTCCACCTAAACTTTCTCAAACTATCCTGGTTAGAACTGCTGACTTCCCTTTGGACTTGTACAACACTTAATCCCCTCCACTTTAATTATAGCTTTGTTTTATACATAATTACATAAATGTTGATCTCCCAGTTTTGTCTTGCACTTGCTTGAGACAGGCTGTCCATACTAAGCGAGCTAAGAGATCATTTAGTTGCATTACTGCGCTGAAAGGTTCTGCTATTTTCTGTCATACACAGTTTTATCATTTTAATTCTTCCCAATTTCCTCCCAGTTCTACCATTCTATATGAAATCCTCATTTACTTAAAAAAATGTACTTTTAGCATCTTTTGTCGTTGTTAGTTGCCATGAAGTCAATGCCATGCTCTCTGGTGGTGTAGTCCCTGGTGTACTGCATTGCTAACCAAAGACTAAGCTCACCAGCAGTTCGAATCCACCAGGGTCTCTGTGGGAGAAAGATGGGCGGTCTCTTCTTGTTAAGATTTACAGCTGTGGAAATCCCATGAAAAGTCGCCATGAGTCAGAATGGACTCGTTGGCAGTGAGTTTTTGCATTTGATGGATTGCAGAAGGAAATGTTACTCAATCCTGTGCCGTCTTAATGACTCTCGGTGTGTTTTGAGTTCCTTGTTGCCCTGGTTTGTATCAGTTGCTCTCACTGAGAGTTTCCCTGACGTCCATTCATCATTACCTTTGGCAGCATAGTCCATACGGAGTTGCGCCTCTCAGGTTGGCAGGACACAGGCGGGCAGCCATCTCCGTGCCATCTCTGGCGTCTGAACACTTCTTGCAAGTCAGCTGAGTCCCTCATGGCTCCATGGCAGTGGCTGGCTCACTGCCTCCCAGAGATGACGTTCTTTTCTAGCTGTTTGTCTTTCCTGATACCTTGTCCAAAGAAAGTGAGTTGGAGTCGCATCTCCAAGAAGCATTTTGATTGTATTTCTTCTCACACTGATTTGTTCATTCTTGTGTAAGTCCACGGTACATTCCGTATTCTTCAGCGACATCAGGCTTCAAGCGCATCATTGTCTTGTTTTGTTTCTCTCTTTCACAGTCCAGGTTTTGCAACTGGAAAGACCTTGACTTGGGTCAGATGTACCTTAGTCATCACATCCTTGGTCTTTAAAATTTTTAAGGGATCTTTTGCAGCAGACACCCCATGCCAGTCCTTGAACTAAGCCCTGCAGAAAGAGGAACAACATACAGTCAGGATCTCAAGGAAACCATGAGCGGAAAAGTAGGCATGTTCTGAATATTTTAGGTAGAGGGATTCATTCTTCAGGATTCCTTACAGCATTGCCTCAGTCTGCATTTGCTACACGTGTTAAGTATTGCTGATGTTAATAAAAATTATGACAAAGGTAGACAGGAATACAGTTGTATTTCTGCCCCTCTTCCACCATTAAGACTGTTGAATTTAGCAAATACAAATAAATACAGATCATTGTTTTGTTTTTTTCCCCATGCAATAGTCATAATATATGGTGGCTTAGTGAAAAGAAATTGCTTTGTTCACACAAAGGTACTCGGTTTGAATCCACGAGCTGTTCCATGAGAGAAAGATGGGCAGTCTCCTACTTGAGCGATTTACTGCTTCTGAAAACCATCTGGAGTGTTGGCTATGAGTCAGTTATGACTTGATGGTCCACACAACAACAATGCATACTAAGATTATTCATCTGATTCTAACTTTACCTAGGCCTCCTGTGTTTTACGTGACAACTCTTGCCTGTCATGTGTTTTAAAGACCTGCCGGGACAGAGCTCGTGCCTGGTGCTTCCTCTCCACCTTGTACAGCCTTCAGTTGAATATGACTGTATTTCTCTGTATTGACTTTACCTGTGTCCATATCCTCACTCACAGCATACACTGTGAGGAAGGTACCTGCCATATTGAAACAGAATGGTGCACACGTACCCGCACGCACGGTCACTTTGACTTAATTGTTCTCATTAGAAGCATTTGTTGGATAGTCATAGTTTATGCCATATTGTCTCAAAGTTTATTCAGAAACTTGAAAGCAGTGCCTTTCAAGATATATCAGGGTTGGAAATAGAGGGGTGAGGATGGCTGGGGGTGTAGGGTGTTAATCATGGGGATGCACAGTTCTGTGGGTGGGTGGGGTGAAAGGAAATGGGAAGGATCTTTTATGAAAAGCAATGTATTCAAACTTTGTAAATAAATCAGAATAAAATAAAATAAAAATTAAAAAAAGATGTTGTTAAGTGCCATCAAGTTGTAGGCGACTCATAAAGACCCTATGAACAAAAGACTTGAATACTTGTATAACTTTCGTCCTTTATCCAGGTTCATAGGGTTTCTGGAAGCAAGCTATTTCAGAAGTGGATGTCACTCCTGTTTCCAGGCTTGTTTTAATTGGGGAGTTCCACCAAACGCTGTCTGTCATCGGTAACCGTTATCACATTTGACACATCAGTGTCACAGTGTTCAGCTTCACAGTGACCACGAGTTACCTCTGTACAGTAAGTGGACACCCCAGGCCTAAACAACCTAGAAGAATATTTGACAAAAAACAATTAAAAACAGGCCAGAGGGCTGCGGATTAAAGTCACCCTCCTTTGGCCTGGTAGCATCACTTTCTGTCCACTAGGCCACCTGATCTCTCTCTATGCTATTGGTGATATATCTAGAAAAAATGTTATGTCTAAATTTGGCTGTTACCAATGCCCAGTCTGTTTTCACGGGCTGCACATTGACATGGTTAAGATGCTGTCCCCCTGCTCCTTTTGTCCGTCCAGATATTGAGATCGCATCTCAGCCAGGCTTTCCTCAGAGGCAAGCTGACAGGGGTGACCTGTTGTCATTCAGTGGACATGTGTGGCATCCACGTGGATTTTAAGGTTAGAA